CCACTGTGAGGATAGAAGTAACCAAAAGAGAACCTGGAGGAAGCACCTTTAAAATTCAAAGCCACAGAGCTGTAATCCTGACAGGGCTCCTCCAGACAGCAGAGCTGTGTTCCTTTGTATGGCTGCTGTCTGATCATTAACTGCTATATTAACGACACAGGAATAAACTAAAAATCAGACAGGAAAAGGAGCATGAAGTGCAAAAGATCCCAAGAACAGCAGAATGCCACAGAAAGAAATAGCACAACACTGGTCAGCATGACTGCCAAGACATTTCAAGCTGCCATTTAAACCTGTTTGCAGTCCTCGCTCTTCTGAACTAACGCTACTTTATGGGCACAGTCAACCCCCGAAGTTCAGCTCCTCACTATAACTGCACCCCAATCTTTTGGGAGAGAAAGAACTCCTCCTCCCCTCCTACTGCACCAGCGCCTATTGCAGAACAGCCCAGCCACTGCTTCCACAACAATGCCACTGTGTTTCTTCTGGGTGCTGCCCACAAGCCCAGCTGGGTAGCAGCCCTCCTTCCCCAGGATCCCAGCAGCATCCCCCTATCCAGAGTCAGTCAGCAGCCAAGCCAACAGAACAGGATGCGCCACAGCCGCACAGAGGAGGTTCTGCAGCTCTAACCCCAGTACTAACAGATGCGACTTGACAAGGAGAAAGTTTTCTGATAAGCCAGAAGATAACAAACTTCACAAGGTGGTAAACTGCTCTTTACAGCAGTTCCCGTTCCTGACTTCAGTGTTCCTCACTGTTAATGGCAGCTATTTTGGTGTACTGAAGGCAAATCACCAGCACTGCTGAAGCACAGCTGCTCTGCAATTTGAAGTCAGCCAAAAATAAACACAAAACTACAACTGAAAGTTGTAACATACCTAGAATCAAACAGAGAAAGCATTCCCAAACAAGAGAATTGTCAAGCCTTGTTCTTATCTCTGACCACATGCGATTTGTTCAGGGACAGAAATGTCAGGGACTTCATCTGTTCATCATGTCACCAACTGCAACAGCCTACAGCACCATAAAGAAACACAAATAAGCGACAGACCAGCAAAGAAGCACAGACCAGCATCAGAGCAGCAGCACCCAGGCACCGAGGAGTTAAACAACTTGTCAGAGATGATGGGTAATCACTCAGGGCCAAAGCTTAGGACTTAAGTTCCTGGCTTCCAGCCTTGGACGGAGACTATCAGACTTTTACGTATCTTTGGATTACACTTGAAAGAACATTTAGATAGAGCAGCTTGACTCTTTTCCCTCTGCCAAGTAATTAAACAAATTTGACTTAATTTGTTCTGAAGTATGAACTCATTCCATTAAGCCAGCATCCAGTTTTCAGGCAGTCTAGACTTACAGTTCCTAAGCTGTTTCCAAGCAGAGCTGCCACCATGCTGTATCTTGGAGAACTTAACAGAAGAACAAAAACAAACCATGCAACAAAGAAACAGAAGAAAATCTCTCGTCCTTTTCAGCAGCCATTCCCACAAAGGAGACTTCTAAGAAAATATGGTTATGCCTCCTTTCAAGCACTTCTGGACAGTTAAGTCTTACCTGCAGTGAAACAGCAATGGCACCGAGGGGACAACACTCAGGAATTACAGCTTATTGAACACCCTGACCACAGAACTTGCAGTCTCTGCTTTCACCACCAGCAGAGTTCTGCCTGATCTCGTGTCCCGGCTCTGGATCCTCCAGAACTGACAGAACAAGATGAGCACATGTGCAGCAGGACTGAGCTCCAGCAAGACAAAGGTAAAGTAGAGAAGTGAGGAAGGCTTCTGTGGAGCAATGGATTTGCTGTTTGAGAAGCAGAGACAGCAGGAGCTGCGATCCCCCTGCCCTGACACAATGGACAGCCACACGACAAAAAAGGCAGCCTTACTCCATCAGCTAGAATTAAACACCCAAAAACCTAATGAAGCTGACGCTCAGATTTCAAACTCAGAACCCAATTTCCGCATCTAACCTCAATGTGACAGAGCCAGGCCAAAGCTTACGACCAAAGAGAAGCTCCATACACACTGAGAGGCTCTTCTACACTGCTCCTCATGGAACCAAGCCCCTTCCAGTCGTAAAGTCTTTGCCAAAGCAGAGTGGCACAGAAAGGCCCTCAACAATCACGGCCATCTTCACTCCTCAGGCTTTAGTAACAGCTTCCCCCTCCTTTTCCCTCCATCCCTCAAAGAAACACTGTCACATCCACCCACCACACTGCACCTAGAAAGCCAAAAAATTAAGAACTGTCTCATATGACAGTTTGTGCTTCTGCCATCAAACCCACCAACACCGACCCAGGAGGAGCCAAAGCACCTGAAGAGCTGCAGGTGCTCCTACTGCTGAAGGCGAGGAGCTCACACCTCACCCAGACGTGCTGGAAGCTGCAAACCAGCATTCTCCACAAACTTTACTGGTTTGCTATTATTATCGTATTGTCACTGCTCTCCCTTGGCTTACTTATAGCCAACGTTTCAGGGAGACTATTGGGTTAAACTTTACTGCTTGCTGCAATTAAGCCGATGCAGTTTTCCTGATTGACACTCCCTGGTTTACGTTAACTTTTCTATTTAAACATCCCAACATTCTATTAAGAACAGGAAGAAAACAGACAGTGAAACTCCTTCCATTTCAGTTTTGTTTTTCCCCCTTCACTTTCTGTGAGCGAAGTTTCAGTATTCCACAAAAGTCAGCTTTCTAAATTTGAGTTCCAATGCCATTCCATAAACCAGAAACCCACACCCTGGCACTGGCAAACTGGCACTGCCCTCACCCATAGGGGCGAGCAGAGCCACACTCATTAGCTTGCAGACCACAGCAGTTAAAGGACCAATGAAGTTTCAGACAGCACCGTTTTCTTAAGGTTTGGCTGTGGAGCCTGCCACAAGAAAGCAGACAGGGGAGGGAAAAAGGTCAGAGCAGGCTCAGAGCCACTGACAACTTGTCTGCTGGTATTCTGAAGGAGGACCAGAAGCATGCAAAACTGCTGCTCTAATTCTACAAGAGCTACACAAGGCTCCATCTTGTTAAGTGAATCTAACTTAAAGCCAGAAATGCAACTTAGAAAAAGAAAAGGTTTAAGTTTTAGCTTGATGCACTATTAACTTTTACAGCAGCATTATGGGGAAACATTACGAAGCTCAGCAGGAACCCCAAGGATTGCATGGAAGGTAAAACTGCATTACAGTTACGACAGCCAGTTCCCAATGAATTCCAGCAAGCATCCTGAGACCCAGACACCCAGAAGAGCTCAGAACTTCAGCTCCACAGATTACAACCAACTGTAACTCCAACTCCGAGACCCCACTGGGTCAGATGCAGATGCAGACACACACATCAGAAGTCCAGCAGTGCAGTGAAGCTCTGGGGTCTGCACTGTAAGCTGGCAATGACACCGAACTCTTCCCTGGATCACAGAACCACAAACCTATATATTCCATACTCCAAAAAACGTTCTGGAGAGCATCAGGACTGGCTTGCCAGCACTGAAGGCAGCTAAGCTCATTCCCTTGCAGCAGAGGCTGCCCTGACCTCCACCTGGGCTCACAAACTCAGCTCACCCGCCAGGAAGCAGAAAGCTTTGCAGTCACCTCTCATGATGCAAAGTACGAAGCCCTGCAGCAGCAAGGGAGCCAAGGACAAGCTGCTTCCTGACTCCTGCCTTCCCACATCCCTGTAAAAGCCACTACCGTAGCTCATTACTATTACATGCAGTCAGCGTGTCTGTTTTAATGAAGAATTATTTGCAAGCATCTGCCACACAACCATCACTCTTTCAGTATTTGCACCTTGAGGATTTAGCTTGATATGCAATAAAAATAAGGGTTAGAGAATTTAAACTCGATCAGAGGAAAAACTGACTGCTGTTAACAGTAGTTCACAGCTCGTGCCTCTAAAGATACTTTCTCAAAAACTCTTAAATTAAGCTTTAAAATAAACTTGCAGTTTTCTTGCTTCCAAAGGCCATCCTTCAGCTCACAAAGTGACAGCAGCCTTTTAAAGCACCTTGTCTGCCACATGCTGTAGCTAATAAATAAAATCAGACTCCTATTTTCTGCCTTTTAAAATTCATCTGAATCACACAGAATGAAGAAATAAAGGGAACTGCAGCTACTGCCCTGCTAAACCCAACATTCATCTCACTTGTCAGCAAGTCAAAGCACTTGAGATCATTAAAGAAAAGTTACAAACTGCATAATTGACAAGGCCAACTGCCTGCAAAAAAACAAACAAACAAAAAAAAAACAACAAAACACCTCCTGATCTTACAGGTGGTATCATGCAAACTTGTGGCCAAATGCACTGAGAAGTCCAGAACTTTCCCAAAGCAGACAGGAATGCAGAAGCATTGCCCACAGCACGACCAGGACACAGCAAGTGGGACTCCTCCAAGGATGCCCGACCAGGTAACAGCAAGCACATCTCGTGCAGCCTCTATCAGAAGCAGCCATCTTGCTAAGAGATGACACTTGTCACTGCCAGCCCTGCTGCGGTGTATTTACGCAGTTTCCGTATTGTTTCTAACACAGAACCCCCCCATCAGCTTCGAGGTAAGCAAGCACACAAAATATTCTGATTTCATCCTCCTCTGGTTCATAGAAGCTGGGGAGACCGGGAAAAGTCACTCCATCTTTATCAAATACCTGGATCTTCAAAGAATACCAACATTAATTAATTGCTACACCACCTCCCTGTGGAACGCAAGCATCACGTGCCCCACTTTGCAGATCAGGAACAGCAGAAAGCAAAAGCTGAGTGATGGGGAATCTAACAGTTTGGGAAAACAGCTACAGGGAGCACTTCAGAAGGCTGAATGGAGTCCTTCAAAGCATGAGGAGAACCCTGCTGGTGTGCTCTGATCCTGACTAGAGGGCTCTGAACACACATAAGTGTCCATCTGCTGTACCCAAATTGCATATGATTGAGATTGGAAAGATTAAGATCTGAAGAGCAGCTATAGGAAGCTGGGGGGGAAAAAAGATACTCTGAAAGATTGCTCTTACCTTCTGCTACATCATCATCCACAGCGCCTTTCACCTGAGAAAAACACCACTGAATGTCATTTCCTCCTCCAGCTCCTGAAAAACACAATACAAAAATGAGACCCCCCAGCGCAGCAGGAGCCGCCAACTGAAGCTTTCAGACAACACTGCTCACACCCACTTCCTCAGCAGCGGGGCTGGCACAGCCGCCCCTCCCCACCTTTTCCCTTTACAGACATTGTTTTCGTCCTCAGCAGTTTGCTGGCATCCAAAGCAGATTTAGAGGGAAAGAGCAGAGGCAGAAGTGGACGGGAGCAGCTCGCAGGGCTCACACAGCTGGCACCAAACCCACAGCGGGCACTCAGCACCAGCATCCTATTTCAGAGAGCTGCTTCCTACTTTAGAAATCAGAGCCCTCTCCCAGCACACACAAAACTTGGTTGGTAAGCGGCAGAAAAGCTCTGAGTTCTGAGAACATTTCAATCGACACAAACCAAGCATGCTAATCATTCCCTCCCCTTCCAAAAGCCCCAAGCTGAACTTACGTGCTGAAGGCTAAAGAAAATAATTCTACCACAAGTTTAGCTCTCTTAGCAGCAGTAATGAAAGCAATTATCAGCTTAAAAAAAGCAGCAAACCCCAGCAGAAACACAAAGCAGCAATGCGAGGTAACGAGCTCTACTACCATAGAACACGGATCGGAGAGAAAACTTCAGGAACATCCCTGCCCCGGTGGGAGGCGGCGACTCATTTGAACCCTGAACCAAAACACGCACAAAAACCACCACCCATTTCTTTTGCACTGCATTCTGAGCAAATCACCGCCGGGCTGAGGACACACAGGAAGGGGCTGACATGGGCCTGCCCTGCTGCCTCACCATTTGTGTTTGCTTTTTTTTTTTTTTTTTGGCAAGCCAATGTCAAAATGGAACTTTTCCTCAACGCAATTCAAGCAGCCTGAGCAACAGATGGCATTTACACGTTAATCCAGAGGGCTGCAACCGCTCCTGGCACAACAAAGAATGTAGAAGGGATTTCACCCCTCTCCAATATCCATCTGAGGGGTTAAAAAAAGAGCAAAAGAGGTGGGAATCCGGAGCTCAAAGCTGTCCTTCCAAAGGCAACCCAGCGCTTCAGCGATGCTGAATGCAAACGGTGGGCGCTTGCTGCTCGCTCTGCTTTCCTTCCTGAAGGATTACAGTGAAGCAAAGCACGCAGCCGGTGAAGGCTACACCAGCACTCAGCTATGCCAGAGATGCCAAAACGCCTTTAGCAGCAACGGGGCTGCACCCACATCCCCCCAACCCCGCACAACCCGCTCTCCTCCTCCTCCTTCTCTCCAACCTCCTCCTCCGTCATTCCACGCTGCCATGGTGCCTGCTGCTAAGAGGTGACGGCTTGTAAGAGAAATCAATCACTGCCCTCTTTGCACGATGGCGAAACGCTGCCTTTCGCACGGCTACCTCGAACCGTGGCATTTTCTCCGTTTATTTTTAATAAAACAAAAAGAGGAGGGCGGAGCGTGGGAGAGCGGCGGAGGGAGGAAGAGGCGAAGCACAAACCGGCACGGCCGCCCTCGCTCCGCTGGAAGGGCGATGCAACCTGCAGGAGAAGGAACGCGTTTCCAAACGCAACTGCCAGGAAAAGTGAGGAGGAAGAGATCCCTCATCGCACGCAGCAACAGAGCGCTCTGGGATGCGAAACGGGGAGCGAGCAGAGAAGCGATGAGAAGGGACGCCCCGAAAGCCCGCGTTCCCGTATTACAACCCGTCACTCGCAGAGCTGCGCCCGCAGCCCCAGCGCCAAGCGGCCGGGAGGGCGGCGGGCAGAGCGCCCAACTTCCCCGCCGCTCCCTCGTGCCATTTTCAGGCAGGCCGGCAGGAAGGGACGCGGGGCCGGCCGGGCAACCGACGACCCGGGGGCGGCTCCGCTGTCGCGGCCCGACCACCGCCGCCTCCCCCCCCCCC